GAATAAACCTTTGTTGGTCATAATGGTGCCACATGACTCTAAAATAGATTTTCATAGTTTTTTCCTCAGACAGGTTTCCAAAAATCAAAATGACCGGACATACTGTGAGAGATAGGAGGCCGTCCACACCCTAGTTGTCAAACAACCAATCTTTTGCTAAAGCCTGAGAAGATTTGAAAGCTGTGGTGACTCCCAATCAGCTTTCAAGAAGCTGACAAAATGTGAAGAAGAGAGAAGAGGGATGACAGTTGAGGTCTGACCTTTGAAGACTGCTGACGGATTAGAGAGAATAGTCTTGAGGGAAGATCTTAGAACCCCTGCATATAAGTGGGTCTAATCAGGTTTGAAACTATTCTTCCCACATGCATACCCCCTGAACCACATTATTTCATCAAAAAACTTAAATCTAAATCCAGTTAACTTATACTGACCCCCAAATCCTCCTATCTTGTAGGCATTGTTCCACTGATATTTCTTTTTTCCATAATCACTTATAAACCATTGTTTCATATGGTTTGACATTACTTATTTCAATTAACAGCAAATATCATTTTCTCCGCTTTCTTTGATAGGATTATGCCTGGGGAACTCTGATGATCTTCTCTGCTTGCATAGTTCCTAGGTTCATTACAGGTGTCAGTGAGCACAAAAAAGAAGGAGTGGCTATACACGAAAGTTGAATCAAACTCATATAATAATGATTATATGTCACGACTGCAGATTGTGTGTGCCCCCAAAGCCTCAACTGTCATTATATGTTTGCAAAATGTACATATTTTTTTTAATGTACAACTCATACAAAAGCATCATTTATCAGAAGTTAACACAGTCCCTGTCTCACTTTTGGCACCAGCCTTATGACACACTTCCGGTGATGTCAGGGGGTGTGGCCTTATGACACACTTCCGGTGATGTCAGGGGGTGTGGCATATGCTAATGAGTTATGCTAATGAGTTCCCCTAGCTCTTTTTCTACGAAATGACCCCTGAGGAGAACTATAAATTAAGTAAATGTATAAAGTTCCTTGAATCCATATTGATTAATAGTTTGAGATTTACATTTATTAAATAATTATAATTAAACAGATACAGAAAGGGCATGCCACAATATATTTCTGAGTTCTTAAATAGCTGCCGGACTCTTTGTTGTTTTGAATTGGTCTCCTAATCAGACACATGGCTGGAACACGAAGTGACAAGGCTCGGGCTTCTACTGTGGTGCAAACGTTCCCTTGCTTGGCTTGTTTCTTTTTGGGAGTGAATAGGAGAAGGAGGTGAATGAAGAGCAGGCTGTGCTTCTCTGAAAGAAAGGAAAATAATTGTGCTGTAAATAGCAAGGGTCTGATTTATCAGATCAAAATGGGAGTGAGATTTGAACCACACATGAGACAGACACCCACATGCTGATTGTTTGTGCAGTGGCAGTATTATTACTTGAGAATGAGCCACTTCTGTCAATACCAAAGGGAGTGCAGAAGTGCCTCAACCTGCCCAGAGCGCTGTTTGTGGGTCACTTAGCAGCGTTTCATGCACCCAGGCTCAATCAACTGCTTCCATGGTGAATACATGATAAGATAGCACTGACAGATAGCATTAGGGCTTTTCCCTGACATGTCACACTAAAACGACATGGAGAACTGGTGAAGACGTGCAGCATAACTAACCTGTCATGCATCGACAGCCTACAAACCATGTTCCAACACTGGATGTTTCTAAAATATCAGAGGGCTACATCATATAGCATTCACCACCTGTCCATTTGAAAAAGAGGCATTTTTTTTCTTAACAGGGATTCACTATATACTTTAATTTTCATTTTAATTTCACTTTAATAGGGGAGCGGTGGCGCAGGCAGTAAGAGCGCCTGCAAGTAACATCAATGAACAGCCGTTACGGCTGTTCGAGACCCACCATGGTCAGGGTGAGCTCCTGGCCCTAGTCCCAGCTTCCGCCCACCCAGCGGTTCGAAAGCATTAAAATGGCAAGTAGATAAATTGGGTACCTGCCCCTAGGTGGCGGGGGGCACCCTCCTCCTTGTGAGGTAGAGGTATCAACGGCGGCGGCACCAATGGCGGTGGAGCAGTTCCTGACGACCCAGTGGAGACTCAGTGGAGCGACGTCGACGTCGGAGGTGGAGCCCGGAAAAGGTGGAGGCTGGAGAGCGTGGTGACGTGCGGAGCCACCAAGAACATTAGCCGCAGCCGACACGGTGCTACGCGCCAGAACGAGGCCTGCCAGAGGAAGCTACCCGGAAAAGACCGGCTCCAGAAAAAAGAGCACCAGAAGGACGCCGATACCCGAAGCCGCTAGAGGAAGCCAGAAAAACAACAAGCCCTGGGTGCTGGTAGGCAGACACCACCCATCAACAATGTGGCCCTAGTTAGGGAATTTGGAATATGTATGTAAACCGCTCAGAGATCTGCCAAAAAGGTTAGAGCGGTATAAATTTTAAAAAAGAGAAAGATCCAATGCTTGCATTGTTTCTGTTTGCAACATAGTAAAGCTCCCCGTTGTGATCTTAAAGTTCACATCACCAGGCACATTGGTATTTGCATTCCCACAAGAAACTAAGGGCTTAGCTGTCCCACCTAGGTGGGACAGCGTTTCAAAGTCCATCATGGTGGCCTAATCATCATTAGGTCTGAAGGCTGGGGGAAAGTGGAGTGCCTGTCCTCCCCACCCATGGTTGTCAGGGGGGTTGGGCTCCTGAAAACAGTGTGAGGAGACGGACAGGTGGCCCTCCTCCACCCACATCGTGGTCCAGATCAGGTTTGGGCCCCTGCAGCATTTGTAAACAGAGCCATTTTCATCCCTGAAATGGCAGAGGCATCCCCTGGTGGACTGGGGGACTCCGTCATGTCCAGTTGAGTCCTTAGCGTAGCACTATCCAGGACAAGCAGCTTGCAGTGACCCAAGAAAAATCTTCTATTTAAACAGGCATCATATGACCCTCTGGAGTGGAATTGGAAATAGCATATTTTGGCTGGGGAAAGATAACCTAATCTACATTCCCCATCGTGTAGATCTAGACCTGTTGATGTGTGTGCCTGCTTGTCTTATATGCTACTTCTGGGAGAAAAGGTTGAGAAAAGGGATTGGCTATTTGTTGGAAAAATTTCTTTCAGCTACAGATTTTATTCTAGCTGATCATACGGAAATCCTTCAAGCTATTGGAGGCTAATACCACAGCAGAACCACCAAGGTTCACGTTTACCTGTTATCGAAGATTTCAAACAATCTCTGTATACAGAAGAGTCCAGTTTCCCTTCCCCCTAGGCAGTTTCCCTTCCCCCCTAGGCAGTAGATTTTACGGAGCTGTTTTAGGCACACATGCCTACATTCCATCTTTATTCTCACCTTCAATTCACAATCTAATTCTTTTGCTTCTACTTGAATTGTGCTTCTCCTGGTGTCTCGGATGGGATGAAGAACAGCAGAAACTGTGCTTGGGTATTGCCACGGCACATATGGCCTTGTTGGCATCTTTCTAACTGTGATTGTCTCCCACAGCCCAGAGCTGTCCCTTTCTAGAACGAATTCCTTGCTTGCCATTCATGATGGTGGATCATTTTCTCACTGCCTCAAGCAGCATCATAATTTTTTGTGTGATAAGCATGTGCACTGAAATCGGAAATGTTTGTTACAGTAATTTTGGCCGGCTCAGGCCTTTTTGTGTTGCGATATTGTAATTTTCAGCATGATTTACCTCACGGATTTTGTCCACAGAAAGGACAAAACCAGTTTGGTGTAGTGGTGAAGTGTGTTGGACTGGTATCTGGGAGAGCCAGGTTCGAATCTCCACTTGTGCCATGGAAGCTCACTGGGTGAGTTTGGGCCAGTCACACACTGAGTGCATTCAGACGGGCTGTTTAGTCCGCTTTCGGCCCGCCTCAGAAACGGATTTTTATCTGCACGATCACACAGTCAACATCTGCCTCCCGTCCCCAGCTTTAACCGGAGTATTTTGATACCAGGTCCCCAAGTGGTGTTTTCCTGATTCTCTGGTTCCAGCCGCATTTTCCCCCTTTAAACCCCCTCCCCGCTCGAAAGCTGCCCGAGGCTTCCGCTTTTCGCCCACCATTTTTTAAAAAGCATTGGCGGTGTGTGCATAGGCAGCGGTCCGCCACAGGGTTATTAAAAACAATGTTTAAATGGTGCTTAGTTTTAGCCTTTAGACGAGTTCGGGATCTCACGGAGGGCATTTTCAGCGGTAAACGTTTAAAGGGAAGTGTTCCTTTAAAGTTTAAAGAGACGGGTTGAAGTGGAAATCGCTGTTCTGCGCAGGTGTGAAACTTTTAGTTCCACAGATGCGCATGCTCAAAATGAGAGAGAGAGAAAAACAACAGTGCAGCGATCCGGAGCAATTTAAACTGCTCCCAGCATGCCGTCTGACCGCACCCACTGTCAGCCTAACCTGCCTCACGGGCTTGTGGTGAGAATAAAACAGAGAGGAGAATGGTGCCAGCCGCCTCAGGACCCCACTGGGGAGAAAGGCAGGGTACAAATCAAGTAAATAAATAATAAATAAATGTGGTAAATAAATAATGAAGATGTGGGAGAGCCAGTTTGGTGTCGTGGTTAAGTGCGCAGACTCTAATCTGGGAGAACCGGGTTTGATTCCCCACTCCTCCACTTGCGTTTGCTGGATGACCTTGGCCAAGCCATAGTTCTGATAAGAGCTGTCCTTGAAAAAGAGCAGTTTCTATCAGAGCTCTCTCAGCCCCACCTCCCTCACAGGGTGTCTGTTGTGGGGAGGGGAAGGGAAAGGAGTATGTAAGCTACTCTGAGACTCCTTTGGGTAGTGAAGGGCGGGCTATAAATCCAATCTCTTCAATCTCTTCTTCTTCTTCTAAAAGAGTTTGGGCAATGAAGGGCAGGGTATAAATACAATCTCTTCTTCTAAAAGCAAAATAAGGAAGACTAAAGCCCTGCATAATTATCAGTACTGTGCTGTGAAAGTGGTTTCAAGTAAGCTTGTAAAGTTACCAATATTGGTTACAGGAAACGCGAAGAAGAAAACAGAAGGAAAGCCACCGAGTTGCAGAAAGAAATCAAGAACTTCAAGATCAACGGGATCCCATTGCAGCGGCAGGATCAGCAGTGCCTTTTGGGAAAGGAGACGGAAAGAAGGTTCCACATCCCACAGCGGTGCCCCGTTCAGCAAGGTGATGCTCATAAGAAAAGGCCATCCTCCAGCAGCACTTTTCGAGACCAAGCGGAAAGAAGCCGGAGGGACTCAGCTATGATCTTACTGAACAAGGAGGCCACCAGGAACCAGTGCCACTCCACAGAACAGCTCGGTGAAGATCACAGAAGAAAAAAGGGTTGGTCATCCCTGTATTGCCTTTGGTCAGGGCTAGAAGTCTGAAGGTGAGCAGGTGGTCAGTCAGGGGAGAGGGTAAGAGAAGAGGTCAGTCTGCCTGAGCAATGGATTGTTCCGGTCAAGGAGTCAGGCTGGGCCCTGATATGGATAGCCAAGGCCAGCCCAGTCTCATCAGATGTCAGAAGCTAAGCAGGTTTGGCCTGGTCAGGGTTTGGATGGGAGACCATCAAGGAACCCCAGGGTCACTCACCATGCAGTGGCAGACAATGGCAAACCACCTCTGACGTCTCTTATCTTGAATATCCTACTGGGTCATCATAAGTTGACTTGATGGCAAAAAGGGGGGGGGAGTCAGGCCACCGTCAGCAACTTTGTAAGGCCAAGTAGAGCGTTACCGGAGCTGTGCTAAGTCAGTGACCGCAATAGCACCCCCTGGCCACCTGCAGTGCTAGTGCAGCAGAGAGCAGGCCAACAGCTTCTCCTTCTGGCAAGGTACCACAGAGGAACAGAGAGTCAGGCCCTTGAGTTCTTGCATAATTAACACCAGACGATGGGTACAGATAAACCATCATCATCGAGAATTTGCTTTGTATCATTTGTATGGTTTGTGTGTTTCTCATCTGTAGTCTCCTGCCATTTCAAGCTTTATAAAAATGCTGTTTGGCGCTTTTGGCGATAGATATTATGTGTGATCGGGAAAGGCTTGTAAATGTATACTAAATGGTAACTTCTAATAGCTTTGACCATATAATAAATAATATAGTTCTTGGCATTCAGAAATACTTCATTGAGGATGATTTGAACTTTTTTGCTTCCTAAAAAGCGGGCTGAAAATGACATCTGATCACTCGGATATTATTAAATCGCAGAGCTAGAAGGGGTGCGGCAGGCCACTGCTCAGTTCAGGAAATCCAGTGGTAGAATATTCCCAACAGATTGCTGCCCAGCCTTTTCTTGAAGACCTCCAGCGAGGGACGGCCCACGGCCGAGTAGTTGGTTTCATTGTCAAAAACACTCACCGCTCTGGGGCATTGTCATATTGGTAAAAAGTTGTACCCCTCTGCCAGTTGGTAGTGTTGCCAGTCTCCACAGGCAATCCCCAGGAGATTTTTTTGTAGGATGGGGAGCGTGACAAATGCTGTGGCAGGCAAAACTGACGTTGCCATGGTCCATTACATTCTAGGAATTCCCCCAGTCTCTATGGTAAAGGCCACTAGAGATTTGGGAAATTCCTATAGCATCACAGATGTGGCAATACTACTTCCAGCTGCTCAACCAGAAGTGATGTCATTATGTTCATGTTGATGGTTCCCTCTCCCATTTTTCTTTACCGCTGCTCTCTAGAGCCAGGTTGTGTCAGTGCAGGTGAGGGAGGTTAACATAGCAGGCAACATAACATTCCTAGCAGTTGGGGTCCAATTAAATAAGTTTATATTAGGAAATTAGAAATGAGATTTCTTCCTACTGATTTCTGTCTGTGTGTCTCCCTAGAGCTTTCCAAGGCAAACTACAAAAGCAAGTCTATCTGTATCACTCCTCATCCCATTAAGGAAAACGATGGATCTGAGCATCAGGTGGTAGTGAAGCATCCAGCTGTATCTGCCACCGCTGGCAGGGATGGTAAAAAACACAAAGAATCTGTTGCAAAAGCAAATGGGAGTTCCTTGCATGCCAGCAAAAGGCACATCCCCAGCAGGAAAGCCGCCAGCTCCAGGGAGAAATCAGAAAATCAAAGTCAGTCAATAAACAGCAACATCAGCCATTGTGAAGAAACACCAGTGTGTGTTCGAAACAGTAACTTCACTAATGGAAGCACAAAGAATTCAAGGCAGTGTGAAATGGCACTTAAAGGCAGCCCACAGCCGCTGAAAGCAAAAAGCAAAGAGTTAAACGCTGAGAGATGGTCTCCCGCTGGCTCCAGCAGGCCTGGAAGTGCCACGGCAGGAAGTGTGAACATCAGAAGAGACACTGTGAGGGCTGCCGTTACACAAACCAACAAGTCAGCAAATGAGGACAGTGCCAGAAAGGCCTGCCCTTTGCTGCATAACAGTGAAAGGACTACAAGGTTTGTGCCCAACAGACTGGCAATGGGCAGTGTCTCCGGAGACCATACAAAACTGGGCAGGCCAGCTCTGACTGCATCCGGGCATGCAGAAGGGCCACTGGGCTCCCTTCAGCACAGGAACACCAATATTGAACTTATCCCAGTAGCCATCCGGATGCAGGTCATAGAGAAGGAAAGGGCAAGGAAGGAGTTGTTCCGGAAGAAGAACTGTGCTGCTGCTGTTATTCAAAGAGCATGGAGAAGGTAAGGAGATGTTCCGTTTCTTCCTTCCTTCCTCCCTTACTTTGTTTGAATGACTCGAGATTTCTTCAGGAGATTTAGCATGCAGATTAAGTTTTGAGGCTGTGGCATACTTTGAATTACCAAGCCTGAGGTTGGTAAAACCAGCCTGGCGCTAGTGGTTCAGTAGAGAAGCTAGCCACTGTGCTGGATGCATCAGCTTGTCCATTGCCACTTTGTGTGCTAAAATAATGCCTCAACAAAGGATGCATCCTCTTTCCACATACAGATATTATATGAAAGACCAAGTCTTCATGAGCTGCTTGGAGAGATCATTAGAGGTACAAATCATGAGCATTTGGGTGGCATTGTACCTCTGACGAGGGGGCAGGGCTCCCTGGTAGGATGCAGGCTTTATATTCAGAAGGTCCTATGTTCAGTCCCCATTGAAGGACCTCTTCCAGAGACCCTGAAGAGCCACTGATTGTCAGAGTAGACAGTACTGACCTTGAACAACCAAGAGTCTGACTTAGTAGAACGCAGCTTTGTGTGAGGTAGTAGGAGTGGAAAGTGCTGCCAAGTCACAGACAACTTATGGTGACCCCCGTACGTTTTCAAGGCATGAAATATTTAGAGGTGGTTTGCCATTGCCTTCCTCTGCGTAGCAACCCTAGACTTCCTTGGCGGTCCAGTATAGACCAGGGCTGACCCTGCTTAGCTTTCAAGATCGGACAAGATCGGGCTAGCCGGGGCCATTCTGGTCAAGGCAGTGGAAGTACTAAACTAGTGAATGGAAATGTTAAAGGATGGGACTAGGGTAAATAACTTAAGACTTAATCAAGATGGGAAACGAGACTACTTTTGTAGTTCTGAGTCTCAGTTTGTTTCCAGGCTCAGTTTTGGGGTGTTGGATTTGACATTTAAAGTCCTAAATGTGCTGGGCTTAGAGTAACTTAAAGGGCTGCCTCTGTTGTATCAACTTACCAGGAGATTCCAGTATGTGGGAACTCGCTTTAGCTGAGGTTAGGTTGACTGGGGAACTCTTCCAGCTGTAGCTCCCCGATCATGGAATTCCCTCACCAGGAAATGAGATAGGCTCCATCCCATCTGGACCAATCTGAAGACTGGAAAACATTTGAATTGGGCCAATCTGAGGACTGGAAAACATTTGAATTGGAGTGAAATAGGAAACAGCATTTGTTGTCTATACCTCTGTGCGTGCTCATTGTTATGAGATATTATGATGATAAATTGTTTGATATTCTAACAGTAATCCTAGTCAGTGAGAAAAGGAATTGGGTGGATAGGTGAACAGTGGGTAGCGGCAGAGTGAATGGTAAGAAGAGTGAGCACATGGTGCAGGATTCAAAAACTAAAAAGGAGAGTGCAGTAGGAGGAACCAGAGCCTGATGATAACAAAGAGAGAGGAAAAGAACAGGCTAGAGGACACAGAATATGAAAGGGAGAAGAAACACTGAAGGAAAGAGCAGTGGAAATATGTTCCTTCCCTCACTTGGCAAATGCTTCACCTATAGAGGGAAATGTGGCTACCACGGTGCCTTGCCTTCTTTTTTGTCCCTGTACATACATGGCCCTGAAAGTGGTTGAAAGGTGCGGGGGGCTCAAAACCAGCACAAGAGATGAAATTAAGGCTAGTAAGAACTGTGTATGTTATCCCAGAAGTTCAAAAACAGAAGAGGAAGTTGGACATTTCCCTGTAGTGTGTCAAGCAGATTATTCTGTAGCCTTCAGTACAAGTTATGTGATCCACATCAGCATTTTGATCATTGTCGTGGCTTCTATGCAGTCCCACATGGGGACTGCGGCATTGCAGGCTGGCCAATCGGGAAGAACTTTCAAGCTTTTTTTTTTTTTTTAAGTTTTATTTATGTATTTTCTGTTACAAAAAACAAACAAAAAAGAAGTTCAGTTTTACATAACAATCTTTTGAGTGTACTTTATACATTTTTTTCCATCCATTTATCTACCCTGTTCCATCTTTTCTTAAAAACTTTGTCATCTCTCCCTACTAATATTTGATTTAATTTGTCCGCTTCGGCTATTTCCAGGATTTTCTCGACTATCTCATCTTTTCTGGGTAATGTATCAGTTTTCCAATTCTTGGCTACAAGGATTCTGCTTACTGTGAGAATATATAAAATAACACAGTGATCGTCCTTGCTCAATCTATCTGGTATCATGTTCAAAAGAAACGTTTCGGGACGGTTTTGCAATTCTATGTCTGTTAACTTTTTTATCAGGTTTTTAACCATTTCCCAAAAGTTAAAAAAAAAACAAAAACAAGGCTGCATGTGGCCTTTGTGGAGGAAGAAGCAGGGGTCAGAGTTCCTTTCAAAATGTACAGCCGGCTTTCCCACAAAGCTCCTGAAGTGGTAAATTTTCAGAAGCTGTACTGCCTTGGGCCACTACAGGAAATTAAAGGGTGCTACTGCCAGAAGGATGGGTTTTTTCGCAGATGATAACCAGATCTTATCCAATTCAGACTTTGATTTTGCGAAATTCATTTTTTTGTCCTTATTGAACCTTGAGTGCAATACTGTCTTTTCCCAACTAGTAATAGTAAGGTTCAAATTCAATTCTTGTAAAGACTCAAATGTTTTCAATTTTTTTTCTTTGGTTAACAATGTTTAAGAGGAAGTTGGACATTTCCCTGTAGTGTGTCAAGCAGATCTTTCTGTAGCCTTCAGTACAAGTTATGTGATCCACATCAGCATTTTGTTCATTGTTGTGGCTTCTATGCAGTCCCACATGGGGACTGCGCCATCTCAGGCCGGCCTCGGGGAAGAACTTTCAAGCTTTTAAAGAAGTTTCCAGAGCCTCAATGCTCCCCCTCCCCTCCATCCTGAGTGTAGCCTTTCCCACCCAAAGGGTCACGTGATAGAGTCAGGCTGTACTGATGTAGCTTCCCCAGGAGGCATGGGCTGGGGTCCGGCAGGACAGGTCACAGGCAAGATTGCAAAGAGTAACCAAAGTCCAGTCCAAAAGTCAGGGGTTCCACAGAGCAGGTTTACCAAAGTCCAGTCTAGGGTCAAGGAGTTACAGGTCCAGTCTGAGGTCAGGGGTTCCAGAAAAGCCGGTTGTCAGGTCCAGTCCAAGGTTCAAGGTTGCAGAGGTCCAGTGGCAGCAAGGTTGGTGGCTCAGTAGCAAATTGTATTTGTTGAGTCCACAAACTGCTACTTCTCCCGCCTGAATTCCTTGGCAGTCATCCTGAAACTACTCACTTGTCTCTTCCACTAACAGATGACAACACACCATGAGTCTTGCACTGCTTCTTCTTGTTTCTTGTAGTTCTAAGCCTCTCTGGCAGCATTGGTGCTGCAAGGGTGTGGGTGAGCTAGGTGGGCTGGGAGTGGCTTCTGAAGACTTGTTTACTGTTTCAAAGCTACAAGGTGTTGGCTCAGTTTCATCCATAGGCTGTGACTCTTAATCAGCTGATAACCTGATCTCTTGTTGTTCTCCTTCTGGTTGTTCACTTACCGGCTGAGGGCCAGCAGGTAGCTCTTCATCACTCAGCACAGACTGACTTATGGCACAGAGAAAGCACTCTCTTCTGGCTGCCATAAGGAGAACATGAGTTTACTTGACCTGCATTCTTCAGAGCCTTTTCTTCTTGATTTGAACTTCAATTTTGGGTAGGATAGTGTTATTTTTAAAGTATGAGGAGTGCAGAGACAAGCTGTCTCAAAATGATGAGCACAAGTCCTGCCTCTTGTGCTTGGGCAAAGGCCACAATACGACTAAATGCCCACTTGTCACGGTCTAACACCTAAAGCCCGAGAGGGGAGGGCAGCCAGGCCTAAAGTGGCCTTGTGGGTGAAGGCATTAGGTGCCCTGGACCCCTTGAGGAAAAAGAGGCGTAATCCAATAAAAGACAAGGGCTCTGTCTGTGGCCTTGGTACCAACACCCTCAGTGGTGGAATTGGCGGAAGCATTGTAAAAAAAAGGAAAAAAGAAAACCAAGACTTCCTCGAGCACCATTCTCCTTCCTCTCAATGTCAACTGTTGACGCCTCAACATCAACAAGCACCATCTCCTCAAGGATGGAGCCCAATCTCTCCTTAAGGTCGATGGGAATTTCCCACCTGACACCAACTAACTGAGTCAGCGCAGAGTTGACCATCGATGCCAATAGATCAATATTCACCATTGCCTCAACAATGTCCAGCCCCAGTTTGAATTGACCTCAATCTGGCCCAGCACTGGACCCCGTGACCATCAGGGCACAACCTGCATTCCCCTAGGTGTTCTGATGCTGAAGTCTGTGAGATCCCACATCAGTCTACAGAACCACTGTTGAGCCACAAGCAGCAAGCACCCCATTGTCTCCTCCGCAATGGCCATCTCATCAAACTACCTGGTTCCTGGTCCCATCCATATTTCCACCCTAGTGGAGACCTTGGGATCCTCAGCAGCATGCACCATATGCTTGGCTCCCCTTACAACCTGTCTCCAGGGAGAAGAGACCCAAAGGTCAATGAAGTAAGCAGGACACTATTAGGGAGTCAACTTCACATCTCCTTTTGGACTCTAAGGAGGGGATAGATCCAGGGTCGGAGGCAAAATCAGAAGATACTTCTATGCCCTCACCTACTGATGCTGTGAATGAACCATCACCCCCATCACCTACAGAAGATTTAAAGTTGTACTCTGAACAACTAATCTGAATGGCTAAAGCGTTGTACTTAAAGTATCTCTTTTCAGAACCTCAGCCCACCAATCCCACACCAGACTCCAGACTGATTATCTTGCCTATGCTCCAGGGGATATGTGACATTGCAATGGGGATATGGTCCAAATCTACCTCATCTGTGGCTTTGGCCAAGAAACTTGAAAATTTATATGAGGACAGGGAAGACAACTGCATCTACCTTTTTCATCACCCACAAGCTAATTCCCTTGTATCAGAAGTCTTGCCAGCCAGAGGCAGAGCGGGATCCCACTGATCCCTGCTTGATAAGGAAGGCCGTAGACTGGACTACCTGGGCTGTAAGGTCTATTCAACG